GGCAAAGAAGAACCTCTTGAACCACATCCTAGCATCTGCATGGAGGTAAGCTTCCGTAACCAAATTCTGTTTATTCTAGTCATTTTGTAGTAGCAGTTTAGCGCAGCGGTTGCAGTTCTGCATTTCAACCTTGGGGTTGGAGGTTTATTCCCCCGTTGTGCATTTCGCTTGTGTCCTTATAGGCAATTACTTTACCTGTGGTTGTCTCCTTCCACCAAAGAGTACAAGTGGGTACCTGGTGGGTTCAAACACAAAATGCGCTGAATACAGATGAAATTTAATTAGAAATTAAAGAGATAATGAACAACTTTATTATAATTTACTTTAGTATTACTTCTTTTAAATCTTATTTGTCATGCCTGCTAATGCTTCGAGACAGATTCCCAATTTTTACCAAATGCTCAAAACATCTTTGCTTCAAACTTTGCTATAAGTTTTTAAAATCACTAGTTCTAAGTGAAGGGGTTTTACTTAATGTTTAAGGAATTAAGATTTCAGTGGGGAGTGTGCGTGGGTTTGAAAAAATCAACCAAATGGGGTAGGAGAGTTGCTTATAGTCCCTGATATGGTCAAATGGAACAGCTATTTGGGTCATAGCTTCAGTGTTGTAGGGCATCCAATGGCTTTATAATCAACTTTAGCCTTGTTCACTGTGAAAAGTATTATAGTCTGGACTAATTTTACTATTTTCCTTTATTTTGATCTGAAAAAGAATTGAATGGTCGCCATTTAGGGGTCTTGGTTGCATTCCTTGGTTGTATACACCTTGCATATGCAAACATAAAAATTGTTCAGCATAATTTTATTTGATTTTTATCAGGTATTAAGTTACCTTCGACAGCAGTTGAAAACTGTGTATGTTACTACAGAAGGAGTCGGCTATGAGTTGCGTGTCCTTTGTCATGCCTGTGAACCTATGCTGCGACCGCTGCATAAAATTGAGGAATGTTTGAAAAAAGACAGTGTGCCATGTGGAAAAAATAAGTTAGTCACAACAGCTCGTATCAGACGACTCTTTTCAACAGGTTGGTGTAAGAATATAATTTGTTTATGAAAGTGGTTTTATATTTTATTTTGGAAACACAGCGGTTGCTAAGATATTGATTTATGTTTTATTGAATAAATGAAACACTTAAAATTTAAAATATATAAATAATATCTCATCTGTAATGTAAGTCAGAATGCTGTACAAATGCTACAGGTTTCATTAATTTAAATGAATGTGATTACAATACTTGTAATTGGGGGCTGCAAAAGGATAAATAATTCTTTCTTCACTGGCAGTAACAAACGAATACAGTATTCAAATTTTAATTGGGGGAACACTCTAACATAACCCTCTCTCTTGGACCATAAGTCTATTTATTTGTGCTTCCCATGTTGATTTTGGAGATGATTCAACAACAGTGTTTTCATCAACCAGCAATATTGATGCATTTCACATGGACATCATGATAAAGTTAATTTGCTGCTGTTGTCAAAACACTAATACAGAAGACTTCTGGGAGAACCCTCCGGTTGATGACAATTCTGAGCTGGCAAATCTTGTCCGCATCTATCAATATAAAAGAACTGTTCTAGACTGCAGTTATAGCAACAGTGTCACAAAGGAGGTGTTTGATAAACAATGGAAGGAACTCACAGCAATTTTTACAGGTGTTGGAGTTCCTGTTGAAGACATTGAGAATTACCGCGACCCTTGGCATTACAAGGATGGAGCCTTGGAAGGTAAGTAACTAGTCTTATTAATAATAGCTGCTGCTGCTATTGATGCTGATTTTGTTGTTGATGCTGAGTCTACTGCTACTCAAGCTGATTCTGCTGCTGATATTTCTGATGAAGATGCTGCTGCTGATACTGAGTCTACTTCAACCTATTCTGATTCTGTTGCTGATGCTGATTCTGCTGCTGTTGCTGGATCTACTGATATTGATTTTGTTGATGCTGCTGATGCTCATTAATAATGAATAATAATAGTTAGGTTTGTAAAGCCTATCATGCAAACAAGCCTCTATGTGATTGAACCAGTTGAGGTGCCAGTATTTTCCAGATCGGGGGTCCAAAGTCCCTGACAAGAACAAAGTTGGTGTTGCTAAAAACCTTTCAAAAACGGTCCAAGGGGCGAAGCCTCCAAAAATATGACAATTATTTAAAGGTTTTTAAGGCAATAACATCTAAATGAAAGTTGTGTATTAAAGGCATAATTGTAAATGTGACAAATTGAAATTTAATAAACTTACTCTTCCAAATTATTTTAATTTTCCATTTCGTTATTGACCAGAAATAGGTATTGGGCACACTGTCATTGAAGAAATCAAGAATTTCCAGGCTGTGTTATCGGCTGTCGTTGATGTTGGAACTGCAACCATGGGAAATTACATATTGGAGGTTAACAAAATTAACAAAAACGATGTTGGGAATTATCTACTTTCCGAGAAGAGAAAGGGTAGCTTTAATAAAGTAATGAAAAATATCAGTAAAGTGCAGAAGTCAAAAATGTTTACACCATCTGCTGACATTGATACGTTTGATATCTCCATCATGTATTTAATCATTCGTAACTGCTGCGTTACCATTCCAGAGTCATTTTGGATAAATCCAGATAGACTGACTAACTTGGTGCACATCCACGACTACAGGAACACAAAGCTGGCACATTCTCCCGACAGTAGAATGTCAAATAAAGAATTTGAAATTGAATGGAAGAAAGTGAGATCGATGTTGCATGCTGCAGGTGCTTCTTTAACTGACATCGACAAATATAAGGCACTAAGATCATGGAGAAAATAAAATATTTTATTTTCTCCATGCTAAGATTCATCAACTAAATGCATAATTCTACCTATGTATTTAAATGTTGCTTGAAAATATGAATTCTTGTATGTTCATTAAATTTCTGATAACTCGCATGAAATGTGAACATTTTAGCACTGGACAAAATTTCTGATTTTGAATTTGATGGGTTTAAGAGCATTACATTTTGGTGACCAGGGATTTAATATATCAAATATACATAATATTGTTTAAATTACTTTAAATTGTAAATGTATTTTTTAACTTTTTTGTTTTAATATGAACTGTTGTATCAGCAGCACTTAATGCTGATGCTCTTTAATTTTAATAATATTGGTACTCTTATATAGCGCATATTGTTAAGCATTCTATTGGCTTCCCATTATCGTTTAATACCCCGGCCATTGGATTAAACGCCTATGGAACAAGCTTCCTAGGTGAGTATTCCATTGTTGCAGCAGCTACCTCAGTGCATTTGGCATTTAACTCTACCAGGTGCCCACTTATACTCCTGGGTGGAGAGAAGCAATGGAGATAAAATGCCTTGCCTAAGAACACAAGTGAAATACACAGCGAGCGGGGTTGAAACCCCAACCATGAGGTTGGGAAACTAAATTGTTCCCGCTGCACCACACCACTTACGTTTAGTGTATAATAAGTCTTTGTACAATATTAATAAAAATGTAGGTTTTGAACAATCAAGCTTAATACAGTATTTTCCACGGGATAAATAAAAAACAAATGAATCTGTAGACATTTTTCATGGTTGTTTTCAAGTGCTATATATTCACATTATAGATACAGATTAAGTAGGTTTCAAGAAGAAACTAGACATTCACCAAGGAATTTAGACCCTTTAAATCAGGGATGGGCATAAAAATCGGTCGGAGGGCCAAAGTGAAAGGGCTGCACACAAACTTTGATTGTTGCAGGCTGCACTTTTCCATCTGTGCTTTACAGTAAATAATGTTTACCGTCACAAACCACAGAATTTAATAAGTAATTGATATGATAGAGGGGATACATTTTCATGGCACACACTGTAACAAGAATTTTGATGGAACAAGATATTGATGCATATAAGAACATTTGTATGTAAGCAGTATGGTGTACTGATAATCCTTTTGAAATTTTGTGTGCGCTCCATTGTCATTTGTACATTTTAGCACAATCTTTTGTAAAAACCACCATTTGGTTGAAGCAGTGTATCATCCTGAAATATAAATTGTATTGTACCCTTTATTAATTATATAAACATGTCATTGACATATAAGTAATTATTACTGAATTTTAACTTTAAAAGTAATTTATTATAAGTTAAGAACTTGTATATATACATATACACTTAAATATACAGATAAAGCAATTCAAATATATTTTGATTTGTCATCTCTTTGAATCAAGATTTATTTATTGAAATTAAATATTTTAATTTGTTAGCATGCCAGACAGTGCATCTTTAATGTACAGTATACATTTTTTTTCTATCTACAAATTTTACTTTATAGCTGCAAGTGAAGTTGTACATATATTTACAATGTGAAGTTATTGAATGGATGTTAAATTTTTAGGTGTCATTTTTTGTGTGTTCTTTAAATAGAAACTATTCCTGGAGCAAGAAACAAACCATGTAAAAAACTCTTTTCATAGAGGGTGAAACTTCCAGCTTATCGTAGAAGGCTGGCTAATATTTAGCGCCCTCTTAAATATTTGAAATAACGAAATATTGTAAATGTGATATACGAAGCTTAAGCCGAGCACTCACTGTGTCATACGTTGGTCGTACAACAAATCCAACTCCTCTCCTTATAGCTCTAGATGACACGACACCTGATTGCCGGTGTGATTCAGAATGGATCATAATAAAAAGCAAATTGTTGCGCGTACATCATGGCGGTGCATTCGCTATAGAATTGCGTCGCCGACAACTGTGAGTGCCTGGCTTTTGGCTATGTTCAGACACAATGATAACGTTAATCGAGTGATGTGAATTTGTGCACGTTGTGGCGAACACCAGTATTATCGCACAATCACTGGCATACGGTAATCCACCAACAGACCCAGATTAGCGTACGATACTGAGTTACGGCAGTCATGCATCAGTGATTTTGAACTCGGCCAGGATTTGACCCACAATGATTTTCGAACTGATCTTCCACTATATTGGGAAGCTGCTCTATATTCTGCAATTTATTATCTTTGGTAGGATGTGCTGTTTTAAATATTTCTAATGTACACTGGGTTAAAACAATTTTTAATATTTTTATTATGTTTTTTGTTTGTAACTTTTTATCAATATTAAGTCATTTGTTTTACTTTGTATAAAAGCATTGTAAAGTAATTTTTTTTTGATAAATAAATATTAGTTTGACATCAACGATGTTTTTGTCATGCGATGAATTGCTGTGCTGTAAATTTATTTCAACCTAGACCCAGGGATTGGAAAGCAGACATGTTAAGTTACATCGGGTTTGAGTCACGCCAGAAACACATTCTTGAATAATCTTCTTTCCTTAATACATTCAGAACATTATTTCTCCGCATATTTTAGCATATATTTAGTGTATAATTATTGGCAAGCTTATCTTGCGAGATAATTGCATAACATTCATTCTGAAGGTATTCATTGTTGATTTAGTTGTGAGCAACATTTTCTAAGATGACTAAGAAAATATCAATCAAATCAATTATAAAACTGCAAGCATCCGCTTATCGTTTAAGTGAACAAAATTAAAGCGAGAAATATAATAAACGAAATCAAGGAATAAAAAAACGTAAATGCAAAGTAAATAGCAGGCTAAAAGGTTCCTATGGTTTTGTGGCTACTGAGCCCTTACAAATTTAATGACACAAGGTCCTACAAAAGGATAAACTAAAATTCGCTTATTGCCAAGCCCCACATTGGACGCCAAATTTTATGTAGGGGGTGACCACTACTTGAAGTAAGCGAATCCCGTCACTTAACTTGTCGTAGGGGCTCGCGTTCCAGTTACGCACAAGCTCAGTCGGTAGATGTTTACATATATGGCCACAAATAAAACAAGAGGAACCTTTTCTAATTATATACTTAATAATGATTTATTGGGCAAAGGGGATTACAAATAATGACTTATAAATTGGACCTAACCTAACAAACTACTCACATGAGACCGTCGGCAATGCAGCGTACGCTTGTAGAAAGTAAAATAATAATAAATGCAAGAAGTCCAACAAAAATAGAGTTCAGAATATATGGCAAAACAGCGAGTTCCAATGATAAAA